GCGTGGCCTGGTGTCGGTCAAGGGAAAGGGCCAATTGATGACCTACTATTTGCAGGTGGGCATTGCAGAAGAACTAGTTAGCATATCTCTTGATATGTGTATTTCTTTCCCAGGGCAAGTCTCAGCCTTGTGCAGAGCCAGCAGCGACACCAGCAGCCATTGAGCTACACGAGACGACTCTGGAGTCCACCACGGAGCTGGATATCTCGGACATCAAGACGCCGCTGCTCAAACTCAAGGGCCAAGAGGCGCCAGCGGCGGAGAGTGGGCCAGCGTCCAGTCTGGGCAATGGCAGTGCCGGCCAAGTGGGCGAATCTCACTCCTTATTGGAATAATTTACGAGTCTTTTCCGTATTGCATATTTTCATTTGCATTTCCATTTAGTCTCTACGAGTGTGTGTGTGTGTGTTTTTGTGTCGTCTGTGTGCGTGTGGCTGTGTTGATTATACTGTTAGACAACTGTTGCTATATATTTGGTTTTGCCTCCGTGTGATATTCTCTAATAAAACCAAACAACCAAAAATTCGAATTTTAGTTAAAAATTAAAAATTATAAACTGTGTACCTAAGAAAACAAAAGAAAAAGCGATGATGCATAACTTTTAAATATATATTTAACTATGGTTAAGTAATTTTAATTACTTGTGAATTAATTATTGTTCCAAACAACAACAAATTGTTATATCATTTTCAAAGGAACTGTAATATAAGTGAACCCTCGTGAACCCCCCAACCCCTTTGCTTTACAAAAAACAAAAAAAACTACTTAATTGATGTGTAGTTGAAGTAGGACAAAAAAAAAACATTCAATTTTGCATCTGAATGTTTTAAATAAACGAGTATCGAGTATCTATAAATTATGTATGCTCATTAACTAAAACCATAGTAATTATAAATGTGTATTAATGAAATATACAAATATGAATGCTAAGTCCTAGAATCCGTATCCCACCACAAACAAACTGCAACCCACAAAAGCAAGTCCAACAAAATAGTCGAAAGAAAATTGAATTACTATAAATTATAAATTAGTTTATGGGCATAGAAATCCTAGGCAAGCGTACCATTAACTACGTTAACATATTCATACATACATATATACAAACACGGAAGCATACATACATATAGTGCATATACATATAGGCATACGTAGTTAATATACAAATTAATACATAGCATCTGCATGCTTATTAGAACATTTCAACGAACTAGCAAATGAAGCAAACAAACGAAACGAACTTACATAGCGAACAAATAGAATAGAAAACAAAGCAAAACTAATATTAAAAAATTGTAAAATCTTTTTAAATTGATCTAAAAAATGTATGTATATTTGTCCATGTCCATGTGTACCCCCACCCACTACTTTCCATTTGGTTTAATGGCTAAAAGCAGGACAATCAGTTAAGGAAGAAAACAGCAACGTTGATTGGCATTATAGCTTTTCCAAAAATTTTCCAAAAATTTCTCTCTCCACTGGTTAACTAAACACAAAAAAATATAATCTTTAAAGCTATTATTTCCTTAGAGAAATGCTTTTCAAACCATTAAAACATTTGCAATTTTTCTATCATTTTCTACATAAACTAAAATTAACTAAACAGAAATTAAAAACAAACCAATTAGAACATTATAGTAAAAAATAAACAAATAACAACTAAAAAAGAAAACTTTGGCTTTGGAATGGGTAAATTCAAATTAATCGTGGCCAAGTCCGAAACCAGATACAAATCTCTACTCGGAGGAGCAGCCATTTAACTTACCGACTAAATGATATGACAGCACATCGAAGCTGGAGCTCTCTTGTTGCAGGATGTCCCGTTCTTGCATGTCATTCCATGTCAGCAGTGGACTCTGTGTTGGCTACTGGCTACTGCTGTTGCATAATCTTATTTGCAGAAATTCAAACCACCGCCAAAAAATGCCAAGAAAACAAACGCGTTTTACAGCACTTCCGAAAAATTCGAAAAGCTTCCGAAAATTTTCATTGGTTAAAAGTTGAAAACGCGAAAAAAGTCGTAAAAAAGTATTAAAATTATTTATTTTCGATATGGAATTTCACAGTACATGGCGGGAATGGAAAGTAAAGGAAGTAAATCTTAAGATCTTCAGGGCAATGTTCTGGGCACTGCTGCGCATAGACGAACGGTGTTGGTGTTTTTCTTTTCTGTGCGGTGTTTGAGGCGGCGGGCGTTGAACTTGCCACTGTCCACTGGCCATCGACGGGTCCGGCGGTATCGGTGGGATCAACGGAGATAGGTAGCGGGATTTTCACACCTGAATTTGTATTGCATGTTCGGTTATACCAGATTATATACGCATAACCACCTGAGTTTAGCCTGCCTATTGAATGGCAAAGAAAAATGGCGTCACAACTTTTATACCCGGCACTCAGGACTACATCTAGATGTAGAAGACATAGCCAACCACTAGATATCGTGCACATTACAGAACACGTAGTAAAAAGCCTACTAAATAAAATGCATCAAAAAAATTGGATCAGTTAATCGTGTTTTCCAATTTATGAGATATTTAAAACAGCAATAAAATTGGTACTTTTACCCTGCACATTCTGTGCAATAATGACCACTAGGTTTCACAGCAGATTTTTCGAAAGTGGCGCCATCTATGAAAATTTCTTATACGCAACTTTGATGGTCACTCTTTTTCTAATACAGAGCGTTAAAAACCGAGTCTTGGTTTTAACTTTTAAAAATTAGCTTTTGGCCACTGTTTCCGCAACTCCTCGCAACCAGTTCGGAATCAAAATCTCGAAATAAAAAGAAAAGTGCTGCTGGTTTGACCGAGTCGGAATTCAAATCAATTTAATCTCTTCTTCTTTTCAATTTCGATATTCACCTATTAAATGCATGTTCTTCCTCTTTCTCTATCATATTCACATATCACATGTATGTTCTATAGCAACAAACTTCTGTCAGTATGTCGTAAATGCAACAATTCAATAGCTTAATGCTACAAATTCATTTTACTTATACAAAATACTAATTTCTCCGGGCCATAATTTGGCTAATTGGCGTAAACAGCCACCAAAACTGGTCATTGGGACAATAGTGCATCTGCACCTCAGCGGTGTTTTGTCAAATTTTAAAAGGGCAGGGGCCGAGTGAAGCAGAAGCAGAGTGTGAATGAGAGAATGGGAAAGGAACAACAAAAGCTGCTGGACAGGGTGGGTTTAGCCACAGCAAATTGCCTTCTTTATTTTGGCTATAATAATAATCCGATCGGATCCCAATTTGGTGATCTGATAGGTATGGCCATTCCCTACGGAATGGCGTTTTTAGTTTTCATTTATCTTCAAAATTGTAGATTTGGGAGGTTTTCGCCATTTTGCGGGGGCGGAAGGGGGCGTGGCTCATTTTTGAAATACACTGGTTTCAGTGTGAGCATATAGCAATTTGGTGGCTCTAGCTCTTATAGTCTCTGAGAACTAGCCGACAAACAAGACGGACAGACGGACGGACGGACAGACGGACGGACAGACGGACGGACGGACGGACAGACAGACATGGCTCTATCGACTCGTCTATTGATGCTGATCAAGAATATATATACTTTATGGGGTCGTAAACGATTCCTTCTGTGTGTTACATATTTATTCTTCGAGTACCGGGTATAAAAACACCAACGCCAACTCTTCATCTATGCACTCGTCTCGCTCAGGGCACTCTGACTCTGTCAAAGATCATGACGGACAACCGTTTTACTTCGAAAGATTTATCAAACTCCCTCAGGGATTCGATGATGCGCCAGGGTTCGTCTATGCGCAGCAGTGCCCAGGACACTGCGGTCATTACGGCAAGTTCCGCAGCAACAAAATACGACACACGAAGGCTTGCTGTGTGGCTTTTGCGCAGAGACTGCAAAAAAGAGGTCAGGACATCAAAAATGCCCGGGAGCATGTTTGACGTACACTCGCCCAGTGCCTCTATGCAAGGACAAACGGCTGTGATGTGTGTATTATTAAATTATTATTAGATACCTGAATAAAATTCAGTTTTAAAATTATTTTTAAATTTAATTATTATTTTCCCTCTCAATTTTATTGCTTTAAATCAAGTACGTATTGTCTTGAAGATCTTAATATTTAAGATTCTTCCTATTTACTTCCATTTCCCGCCAAGTACTTTGAAATTCTATATCGAAAATATGTACTTTTAATACTTTTTCCGACTTTATAGGCGTTTTCCACTACACAATGAAATAAACTCTCGATATGAACAACGAAACGTACAGAGCCAAAATATCTGGTGTCAGATAAAAGTGACAAATTAATTTTATATAAACCTAAACAAGCCAGCTAGGAAAATATTCAGCATTTATGTGCTAAAATACACATTTGTTGATGAACAAATGTAAGAGGACTGTGGAAACGGATACACTAACCCAACAACTGCACCAGCCCTCGTCGGATACTGCATGTGAGCATTTACGGTATATTGTATACTTTTGGGGATATTTTAACTACGAAAATGAGTTCAATGTATGTATATTTACGGTATATCGGTGTACAAAATTAAATATACCATTATTTAATGAATTTCATCGGTCTATTAGATTCCATTTTGAAATGCATGTTCAAGAATATAGGCTATCGAAACTACCATACGCATGTTTTTCAAATGTCCCTTGTTATTCTTTCGAAACATGAGAATTTTCATCACACACAAGTGCCCATACTATAATATACTATGGTTGACCAGCAACAAATTGTCAAATTCCGCCCCACGTAACTTTTTACACTATATTTTTGGTTGACCTTTTTAGTTCTAATCTTATTTCGCAATCAATACAAAAAGCCAAGTCATGAAATCAGCCAATTTTGTGGAGAATTGAATGATAATTCGAGTAGAACAGTTTTAAAGGTGGGAACTCTAACTAGCTAGTAATGTTAAACAGACTAGCAACATCGAGGAAAATGTTTTAAGATTGACGGTATCTTTGCGGTATATTTTAAAAATGAGAACTTATATTTTAGTATATTTCCGAGGGTCTGTCGGTCCCGCGGTCACACTGCTTCGACTAGCAAAAGGTGCAAAAAACTACATTTTCGGCGTAATTAATTAGTAAATAAATTAATTGAGTAGTAGGTGAGTGCTGTCATTCATAACGCCGTTGTCAATGGCAACGGTGGCTCTCCAACTGTGAAATTATTCATTAATTAAGTGCAGTGCAGTGCAAGGCGAAACGCGCTGTGGCCCCCGTCGCGACGTTCTCTCCCTCGACTGGCTCTGATTATGCTGCAAGCAGCGCTGCCCACGTATAAATGAGGGTCGCCGTTGCTTTTGCTATTGTTGTTGCTGCCACTGCTGCTTTTGTTGTTGTAATTGTTGGATAGAAAGAAATGTAAATTGTGCTTTCTTGAATTTACCTTACTTTCCTTTCTCCTCGGCTCGCCCTGCTCCTGATGCTGCTGCTGATACTGCTGCTGCTGCAAAATGAAAACCAACAAGTCCACCATCCAAACCAAACCCCAGACGGACCCACACACCCACACACACGCACGAGATGTCTCTGAAGCCAAAAATAGTGGAATTTGTTGATGTTTGGCCGCGCTTGCGCTGCATAGCAGAGTCGGTGATAACATTGAGCAAAGTGGAACGGGCCGTATGGAATACGAGTTTTAGGTATGTAAGTGTGATGACGGGTGACGGCGCTGCGGCATGAGTTGCCAAAAAAACTGAAATTGCTAAAAATTGCCCCATCTCATATACACGCACACACACTAACGAATCGAAACATACCACACACTTATAGCGATGTATATACGTTGTGCGTGGCGCAGCCGGAACCGATGGCCGATCGTCTGTACACCGAGACAAAGCATTTCCTCGAGAAGCACGTACAGGAGATGCTCGCCCAAAAGGTGCTCTCGGAGACGGATGCAGCCAATGCGAACAAATCCCTTAGCAAGCCGGACTTACTGCAACGCTACTACACCACCTGGATGGAGTATAGCCAGGGCATCAAGTATCTGCATCAGTTGTACATGTAAGCGCCTACCAGCAAGTATACAAATCACCGAGACACGGCCTTCCTTATTTTTGTAATTCCTCTCTTGCAGCTATCTGAACCAGCAGCATATCAAGAAACAAAAGATTACCGACACGGAATCGTTCTACGGCAATGTGTCGGGCGATGCAGCCGAACAGATGGAGATTGGCGAGCTTGGCCTGGACATATGGCGACTGTATATGGTCGAGTATCTGGCAACGGAGCTGGTGCGACACGTCCTAGAAGGCATTGCCGCGGATCGGGCCAGCAACGGCACCCTAGACCATCATCGAGTGCAGATCATCAACGGTGTCATCCACAGTTTTGTCGAGGTGCAGGACTATAAGAAGAGCGGCTCGCTGAAGCTCTACCAGGATCTATTTGAGGCACCCATGCTGGAGGCCAGCGGTGCCTACTACACAGACGAGGCCAACAAGCTGCTGCAGCGATGCACTGTCTCGCAGTACATGCAGGAGGTGATCCGGATACTGGAGTACGAAAGCAGACGGGCACAAAAATTCCTGCATGTCAGCTCGCTGGCCAAGCTGCGGAAACAGTGCGAGGAGAAGTTTATTAACGATCGTCTTGGCTTTATCTACTCGGAGTGTCGCGAGATGGTGTCCGAGGAGCGGCGACAGGATCTGCGGAATATGTACATCGTACTGAAGCCCATACCCGATCATTTAAAGTCCGAGCTCATCCAAACCTTCCTCGAGCACATAAAGAACGAGGGCCTGGAGACGGTGTCGGCGCTAAAGGGCGAGAATATACACATCTCCTTCGTTGAGAATATGCTGAAGGTGCATCATAAGTATCAAGAGCTGATCGGCGATGTCTTTGAGAACGATTCACTGTTCCTGAGCGCCCTGGACAAGGCGTGCGCCAGTGTGATCAATCGTCGGCCCAGTGAGCGTGTTCCATGTCGCAGTGCAGAGTATGTGGCCCGGTATTGTGACACTCTTTTGAAGAAATCGAAGTCCTGCGAAGCGGAAATCGATCAGAAGCTCACCAACAACATCACCATATTCAAGTACATCGAGGACAAGGATGTCTATCAAAAGTTCTACAGTCGATTGCTAGCCAAGCGACTGATACACGAGCAGAGCCAGAGTATGGATGCGGAGGAGGGCATGATCAACCGATTAAAGGTATATTTCTACATTTCTGTCTAGTCATTAATATAGCTCTAGTGCTATAGTGCTTTCTCAGCACATTATTAGCGTGACAACGCAATAAATGTGTGTGTGTATTTTTTTGTCCGTAAAATCATGAACGCAAACTGTAATCAACAGCCCTGGCTTGATAACGAAAGACCTGACCTTTCGTAACTCACACAATTTAACCATTCGTATCGATAATTCAATTAAAACGATAAAGCTGAAGAGATCTTTTGTGATAGCTAAACCGCAATATCGATAAAGTTTGATACGTTCTTCGGCAGTAATCACATTGTTTTACCCCACTAATCCCTGATTATCTGTATCTTTATAGCAAGCCTGCGGTTATGAATTCACGAATAAGCTGCATCGCATGTTTACGGACATTTCGGTATCCACGGATCTGAACAACAAGTTCAACACTCACCTTAAGGACACCAACGTCGAGCTGGGCAAGTCGTTCACCGTTCATTTATGGCTTGATTTCTTAATAAATGTATTCTCCTTCTTCTTTCCTGCCCCGTACAGGCATCAATCTGTCGATTAAGGTGCTGCAGGCTGGCGCCTGGCCATTGGGCTCAACGCAGGTTATACCATTTGCCGTGCCACAGGAGTTTGAAAAATCAATTAAAATGGTACGTAGTATTTGAATGGAGAGGGGGCCGTAACGAAGCAACGCAGCATGTTCCTGGAAATCAAACTCGAAGATGCATCAGGCAGTGAAATCGATTTTTCTCATTTGTCTTCTCAACCACAAGGTAGATGCTGACCCGAGTATTTATTTATCTCTTTCAGTTTGAGGACTATTATCATAAATTATTTAGTGGCCGTAAACTAACGTGGCTTCATCACATGTGCCATGGCGAGCTGAAGCTTAGTCATTTGAAGAAGTCCTATATTGTAACAATGCAAACGTATCAAATGGCGATAATATTGCTGTTCGAGACATGCGACAGCTTGAGCTGTCGGGAGATACAGAACACGCTGCAGCTGAATGATGAAACGTTTCAGAAACACATGCAGCCAATGATTGAGTCAAAGCTGTTGAATGCTAGCTCAGAGAATCTCGCCGGGGAGACACGTATCGACTTAAATATGGAGTATACAAATAAGCGGACTAAATTTAAGATAAGCTCGGCACTACAAAAGGAAACGCCCCAGGAGGTGAGCGAGAGTCATAACAATATCTTGTGTATTACCTGACTGTATTTTTAAACGCAAATTTATTTTCATATAGGTGGAACATACGATTAACTCGGTGGATGAAGATCGCAAGCTGTTTCTGCAGGCAGCCATTGTGAGAATTATGAAGGCGCGCAAAGTGTTAAAGCATAATGCGTTAATACAAGAGGTGTGTGTCTTGAACTATAAAGTAAAGATGAAACTAAAATGCACAACTCTTTATAGGTCCTGTCATTATCGAAAGTCAGCTTCACGCCCAATATTGCAATGATCAAAAAGTGTGTGGAATCCTTAATTGATAAACAATATATTGAGAGAACTGCTAACTCGGGAGATGAATATAGTTACATGGCCTAGACAACATGGGTGCTTGGAGCAAGACCGATTCTTTGGCGTTAATTGTGCAGATTATTTAACTAGTAAACAAAAAATAACAAAATCCCAAAACTCCAAACCCACACGCAATACAAACACACACAGAGGATGTAAACACAAACGTTATATATTTTGTCTTATCCAAGCTCAAAAATGGACAAGAAAGTGTCGTCAGCTAAATATATTAACCAATTATTTTGCCTGATTAAAATATTCCTAAAAAGAGAAGTGGAATGCTGTAGGTGATGCAATTTAATCATTTTTGTTTTATGATCTTAGCTTATCGGAATGATCGATGATGTTACTGATACTTTTAATTTAGCTTAGTTAGTTGCCTCGTTTGGATTTAAAGCGTGTGTTTTACATTGTAGATATATCCCATTTTGTGTATTGTATATTTATCTGGTTTTATGCGCACACGCACAAAGCAGAACAAACAAATTGAAAAATTGTATAATAAAAACCGAAAACAGATTTGCGAAATATATAGTATATGTATGTAAAGTATGTATATGCGAAATAATTCTTCCTCGACACAAACAAACCGATTCCATGGTGTTCCGTATTTTCCAGACAGGCAGGACACACACACAGAGAGTGGACAAGAACAAGTATATATGTACACATAAAATATCGAACCTAACAACTAAGGAATACTATATATTTGTAAATGAATTAAAATGTTATTTACTTATATTTAACGTTAGATGATACTTCGAATAGTGCCTACACTTGTTCGGGTCTATTAATATCTCGATTAAAAAAACACAATGTTATTTATTTTCTGTTCAATGCTATTCTCTTTATTTCATTTCATTAACCCTCATAGTTTTGTTTATTTTAAAAATTCTTCATTTTCATGATTAAAAAATTATATAATTTTTACTCTTTTATCTGTTGTTTTCTTTCCTGGCTATCTGCTAACTGGCTTTATGGCATGTGTGTTTTCTGTATGTTTGGTTTACGTGAGATTTTATTGTAATTTGTCATTTGAAATGATGGAATTGTATCCCACATTAAATTATTAACTATTTTTATCTGAAGGCTTAGGTCGAAAGTTTTTTTCGTTTGAAGAATGCGTGAGTTTAGTGTTAATTTCTTTTTAGTCCATAGAAGAATGAAAAAATAGATTTTTAATTGAGTGAATATTATTGTTTTATTTGCATTTCCAGTTCATGGAATATAATTTATTTGCCCATTTTCTTTTTATGATTTTAATTTGCATTTCGTTTTCCCGTTCTGTATTTTTTTCTTTTATTTTTTTTGTTTTCAAATCTTTTTATTCATTTGCATGCTACTTGTCTAAAAAATATATATTCAATAATATTAATTCAAATAAATGTACATATATATATTGTAATAATAATAAATACCAACTTTCTATAGCATATAATATATAATTCGTTAATAATACTTTCAACTTGCTCTAAGAGGGGGGGGGAGGGGGGAGCGGGGTATATTGGCCACCACCTCCTCCTGCTGCTGCTCGTAAGATGCTGCTTCAATCTCATCTCCAGCGTGTTGGTTTATCAGTGAAGGAGTGTTAATAAAAAATATGTTATCTCCCATACAATATAATATATCATTCTGTTTTTGTTTTTTCGTTTTGTTTTTAATTATTTAATGACTAGTAAACGTTTACAGTTGTGTTGTTGTTATTGCAGTTTATAATCCCAAACTATCCATCTATATTAGCGCTCAAAAATTGAGAAATGCTCGCTGGTAAAATCGTGTTGAGCATTTTTATGAAACTATTTTTCATCAAATTCATTTTCGAATTTTCTTTGTGTTTTTCTTTTTTTTTGGTATTTTTTTATCAAACATTCTTTGAAATGTGGAGGGCGTAACTTCATTATTTTATAATTTTTTTCATTTCGAAATTAAATATGTATTATCTTTACTTGAATTTGGTAGTGGATTTTTTGACTGGTTTTATAAGGACTCGCGGTTATTGGACTGCTGTGAATTACTTTCGATACGGAACGTAGAACTGCCACATAATTGCACTTTGCCCATCCCATCCCATCCCATTTTTTTTTCAAATACTGTTTCTCCTGGCCAACAATCGTAAGTATCATCGAACCCTAAGAACTTAATTCTCAGCTACACAAAAAGTGCTTGAAGTATCAAACATCATTCATCATATAAAGTAAGTAATGCTGCCTGGCACCCTAAACGGTTCAGTTGTTAGTTCAAACTATATGTAATATAGCGCCCATACTCGCACATATAGTAGATACGTATATATATGTATATAAATTCAGTGCTTGTATAAGTTGTGTAAATCTCTGTCTACATTTGCTTACCCCATCCATCGTTGCGTGCTTCTGCGTTTTACGGCCAAGGAATAATTGCATTAATTTTGTGGGATTCGTTTTTGGCAAGTTCAAGGTCTGTGAGGGGGAGTATAATGAAAGATCACACACACCAATACTCATGGCATTGTAATCAATCTCTAACTGTCTGGTGAGATAGTGCTGAATATAATTTTCATATTTTTTTTTTCATTACATTTTTTTCAGTGTTTCTTTTGGTTTTTTTGGTTTTTAAATTTTTGTTTTACAATTTCTTTTGTTTTACTATTTTTTCACTTGTTTTCAGTCTTTACGATTCACGGCTTTTGTGCATTTGAATTATTCTTATTCGTTTTTACTCAATACTTTATGACCGATATAAACGATGCGATGTGTATATAAATTGCTTCAATTCAATGTTCAAGGTGAACGAACAGACGAACACGTGAGAGCGTGAGAAAGATTTTTGTTTTGTTTCTGATCTGATTTGGATGAGTAGGCGAGAGTGAGTGTGATCGAGCGACCGAGCCGCGAAGAACAATAAAGTTGTGGTGGAATACGTAGATACGACTCGGGGCTATCAACTCCCCCCTAAACATATGTGAAAGTGCAGGGTTATTATCATCTTCTTCGATTCTATATGGTGATAGGGTATGCATGTATATAAGACATATCCTAAACGTTGGCGTGACAGAGGGGCAGTGCTTGTTGGGAACTCTCTATAAAAAGGCTTCCATCCTCTAGTGCTCCAGCGAGGCTGTTTTCGTACGCTTCCAAAGCGTTTTGAAGAGACCTTTCTTCTTGGGCTTGGGATTGGTGGCCGGTGCCGTTACACCCACAGCTCCATTATCCTTGCGACTATTGGTGTTGTCTTTTTTCTTGTTTGAACCTAAACATAAAATGTTATGAATGACTATGGAATACAGGAGAAGTGCATTGTATCCATGACTTCTTACCAATCGCCTCAAATTCATAGGCATGCTTGCTGCTGCTGTCATCCATGGGTTGGTCGCAATAAGCCTTGTGCTTTCGGTCCTTGTTGTGTTCTGGGCAGGATTAAAGACAAACTTGATAAAAGATACTGATAATTATACAACTCCTGCCGTTACACCCACTTTTCTTGGTTATCAGCAAGCTGGTCACACGCCTGAGTGCCTCACGAGGTGATTTGTTCAAAAAGGAAGGCGTCAGATTCGGTGGCAAAGTCAGTGGTTTACGCGATTGTCCTGTACCGGACATACCCGCCGGATTGTCCCACACACGCACAGAGGCCAAGCGATCAATATTCTCCGTTGAGGCCGGACGCATGCTACGCTGCTTCGGATACCAGCCGCGTGCCGGTGCGCCAGTCATGCGCAGCATCTCATTGGAGGCCAAGGCATGATTGATCGAACGCTGGCGACATATTTGGGCAGTGCCGTAATTGCCACCTAGATGGGTTCGTAATTGTTAGATAGGTGCATAAGCATTCTAATGGATGCACTCACCTCCAATGCCCAATATGGATGTGCCCATGTTGATGCTGTTGGATGTGCTTGATCTAGGTGCGGTGCGACAGCCACTCGCTGGAAGTGGCTCATTTTGGCGACGATATGGCGTACGTGGTATGTCACAGCTGCATTGGAAGTAGGCAAATTGCATTCAATCATCATTATATATCCTATACTGGTGGTGCTGCTGCAATCACTCACCCTCTGGCAAAGATTGGTGTTTCAGGAAGACTACATGAGGTTTGCAGGCGATGCTCCTCGCGCGGCGACTGCTTTAGGCTGCGCTTGGTGCCATAATTGATGTACCTGCGTTGATACGAACCCGATCCCCCATCTCCGCACGAGCTCATGGTACCCATGACTGGGGGTGGGGGCAGCGGTGGCATCTGGCCGAGACCAGTGGGTGTGGTTATGCCGCTGCCACTGCTATAGTGGCCAAAGAGCTTGGGGGACCGCTTGCGATACTGCGAGTCAATGCTCCAGGACTTCATGGTGTTGGACGAGTGGCCACCCCCACCGCCGGCACGATGGGGTGGCACCATCGGTGGTCCGGGCAGACCCTCAATAAAGCTGGTTGACTGATGGGCTGGCGCTGGCGGCGGTGGCAGCTCGTCATTGAAATGACGCACAGCAGCAACGTTGTCGCGACTGTGTCTCGTATGGCTGTTGCTGTGCACAGCCGTGCCCGAGGCGGTGGCATGCACCTCGGCCACAGTGGTGCCGCGATTCAGTGGCGTGGCATTCAAGGCCGTTGGCAGTTCCAGCTGCTTGCGTGGCTCCACCGGAGACGGCGGCAGTGGGGCATCATAGTCGAAGAGATCCGGATTAGAGCTGGGCGGCGAGGGTGGCAGCGGCCCAAATGCCGGTATCTGCGACAACAGCATCTCTTTGGCACTCTCCGACTTGTGCACGCCGGGCCGAAATTCGAGAATTCGCTTGGCATGGAGCTCTGCGGCAGTCGCAGCAGCAGCCGAGGCCGCAGCAGCCCCTCCAGCAGGTGGCTGGCCTCCAATGGGTATGTCGCCACGAAGCAACGCGCTAATATTGTGCTCAATCTGTTTGAGTGGGGCACAGCCGTAGCTAAAGTCCGACAGCTCTTCGTCCTCCTCCAGAGTGGGGGCCAGATCTGTGTGAGGTGTGGTGGCATTCGAAACCCGTGTGTCTAAAAAAGTGGAACGTTATTCAGTTTCAAACTTTTAAGGTTCATTTTGCGGACACTTACCATTTCCATTGTAAGCAAACATCTCGTAACTTGGATTCCCATTAAGACGCGCCTCATCGAACTCCTCACTGCTCGAGGTGTTGTCCGGCATGGACTCGGCACTCAGTCGCTTCTCTGTCAGCATCGCTGTCTTGCTCTTTACCGGCTTGATGTGTACCAGCTGCTCCTGGGCCTCGGCAATGTCCAGCGACAGAGCCGCTCTATGGGCTGCGGCCATCTCCAGTCCCCGACGAGTGTGCGCCGCATTCGCCTCGCACTCCTTGTATATGAAGTTCATCTCAGCAGAAGTGGGGGGTGGTGGCAACGGTGCAGATTCGCTTTGCTCGCTGTCGCTGGTGTAGAACTCGTTGCTAATGGCTCCCGCTCCGCCACCGCCACCGCTACCGCCCCCGAGCGAAGTTCGCGGTGGCTTCGGTATGGTAAACACCTCCGATGCACGGGGTGGCTTCTTGGCCGTGGCTCGGCGAATAATGAAGG